TGACTAACGTGAGTAAAGCAGACAGGAATTGCTGCCCATCTCTGATTATCCATGGTGTTTGAAGCTTGGACCTGATGTTCAATTTCAAATGCTGCCAGGTGTTGGATGATGCATTCAGTCAATGTGATCGCTCTGCTTTTCAAAATAGAGCATCACAGTCACCCATTGCACTGTCTCTGGTGCTGTGGTCCTTGAACTCTCCAATGCATTATTTCCCTCCTTCTTTTAATGGATTATGAGAGCTCTTGCCACTTACTAGTTCCTAGCTGTTGGGGTGGTGGACCATGAAGGCCTGTCCGCCTGTGTGTACTATACCACTCAGTTGAGAGTAGGGCAGTGGCATTCTGCTGGTGTAGATGGCACGATGCCCTTTCTACAGCAGACCTGGCATTCAATTCTATGTTCCGCTAGGTGATGAGGTGTTAGATGTCAGTTTCCAGTGGATCTGGTGCTGGTTGGAGCTGGACCAGCCATATAAGACCTCACATGTGTTTGAATGGTTATCTTCCTCCTATGGCAGACTGGAGGAAAAATTCCCAATGCTGTCAGGTTTTGGACTGAAAATGCACCCTATATTTCTGTCCCTCTTCCTACTATCTGCTGGGTTTTGGTTTGTGGTGGATCTGGTGTTGGTTGTAGCTGAACAAGACACATGAATTGCCACAGGTGTAAAGTTGGTACCCTCCTCCTACCTTGGACTGGACGAAAAATTCAAAAAGTCACCTTGCTCCTTCACCTTCCACCAGGAAGTGGGAGTATCAAGGTTAGTGGCAAGTAAAAATGTGTTCCAGTAGAGGGCAGTATAAGTCAAGAAAGATTTTGTGAGTGGAGGTAAGTATCTATCAGAAATACATTTTCAGTTCAGGAAAATGTTAACTTTTAAAATTTTACTTCCCAAGCTGTTTGTTTGTTTATTACAGTAGGTAGTAGGCTTGGTATTCAAAATAATTATAATAAAAAGTAGCTTTAGACAGAAACATAACACCATAGATATTAAATACAGAACTGATTTTTACCTCAACAGTATTTCAGTATCAGGTTACACAGGCCTGCAAAATTCAACTTTATAAAAGTTATTTGGGTTTTACTGAATATCAAGTATTACAAATCAGCAGTATTATAAGATAGTATTTCATCATCTTACCTCTTTTTGTTTTTTTCGTTTTAGCTACTCGATGTTTGAATTACACAGGCCTGCAAATTTAAACTTCATAAAAGTTGTATTTGTTTTAATAACAGATTTTCCAGAATTCAGCTACACAGATTTTCGAAAATAATATTAATTTTTTTTCTATCACGTAAGGATATTTAACAAATCAGGAAGAAAAAAAACTTACTTAGATTAAATTATTATTTTGTTTACCGCAATGAACATTTTTTATTGTTATGTTTGTTAACAAAAATACAAACAAACTGAAGAAAGGAGAAAAACATTAAACGAATATGCATCCTCATTCATTCTTTTTTTTGTGTGTGAAATCTACATCTTTTAAGCTTAAAACTATGTTGTGGTCTTTCTTCTATGTATTGCTGTATGATGTTTTATGAAACATCCGAACATGATGGAGAAAAATGGATATTATTTTCGTATTCAAAGTACAGGAATTACTGTAGAACATGTAAAAATTTCAAGACAAACCATCACAGTGTTATTAGTAATATTTTATTTAAAGGTAGTACCAATGAAATGTTATTTATTTTCCCATTTCATCTTTATTTGCTGGTTTCAGATAAATTATTTCACAGGACATTTTCTCTCTCTATTCTTGTACATTTATTTGTGAATACATAAGATTTGACAATATACATCACTGTTTAACTGATGAAGAAACATGCACTGAACCCGTAAGTAGTAGACGAGTTAAATCTTTGAACAGGAGAACTACGAATAAAGGAACACCTATTAGTTAACAGACTTAAGCTAAAGTTGAACGAGCAAAAAAATGTATGTTATATTTATTGTTGAATCTTTGAGCGATAATTATATGTTAACATGAGATTTGTAAAAGAAAAAAGTTTGTAGGTTCATATTGGCTGTGGTTAATAATTTTGTTTTTATCACTAGGTTGGTACAAGAAGATATATGGCTCCTGAGGTCCTTGAAGGGGCCATCAGTTTCAACAGAGATGCATTTCTAAGGATAGATATGTATGCTTGTGGACTGGTCTTGTGGGAGCTGCTTTCAAGATGCTCTGCCCAAGATGGTAGGTCAGTTACGTGAGTGTATTCATTTAAAAAGTTAAGAATTGAGCCATTGTCTTTTAAGCATTCTAGGTACATTTGATGATCTCATTGGATTTGTTGTTAGCTAGTTATAATAAGGATTTTGTTAACTAAGGTAAACTGTGAATATCTGGAATTATCAGAATGTAAAAGTTTAAATAGAAGAAAATGCTTACATTTATTTTAAAACAACTACTTTATTATATTGATTAACAAAAATGGCTTTATCTTGGCTTATTTGTAATTAATTATAAAATAATATTTTAGGACCTATTGGAGAGTACATGCTTCCATTTGAAGAAGAAGTTGGACAGCATCCAACCTTAGAGGACATGCAGGAAACAGTAGTACAAAAGAAGGCTAGACCGAAGTTCAAAAATATGTGGAAAAAACACCCTGTAAGTTTGAAACAAACTGACACAAAATGTTGAAGCTAACAATCTGAGTTATTCTGTTATCTGTACGATTCACTTCAGTTTTTTTTATAGGAGAACTGTCTGTAAGTAATGGACTAATCTGTAACAAGGAGACCAATTGAACATCAGTCCTGTTTTTATGATTTCCACTAGGAGACCAATTGAACATCAGTCCTGTTTTTATGATTTCCACTAGGAGACCAGTTGAACAACATTCCTGTTTTTATAACTGCAACAAGGAGACCAATTGAACATCAGTCCTGTTTTTATAATTTCCACTTGGAGACCAAATGAACAACATTCCTGTTTTTATAATTTCCACTAGGAGACCAGTTGAACAACATTCCTGTTTTTATAACTGCAACAAGGAGACCAATTGAACATCAGTCCTGTTTTTATAACTGCAACAAGGAGACCAATTGAACATCAGTCCTGTTTTTATAATTTCCACTTGGAGACCAATTGAATAACATTCCTGTTTTTATAATTTCCACTAGGAGACCAATTGAACATCAGTCCTGTTTTTATAATTTCCACTTGGAGACCAATTGAACAACATTCCTGTTTTTATAATTTCCACTAGGAGACCAATTGAACATTAGTCCTGTTTTTATAATTTCCACTAGGAGACCAATTGAACATT